CGCGCGGGCGCGCGCGCTCGCGCGCTTGCACAACCGCGCCGGGGCCTCCTCTCGGCGCACCACTCTCTCGTTTGATTTACGATAATTAAAGCTGACCCGACCTTTCGTCGCGGCGGAGTAAAAGAATGACAGAAACGGAGAGAGGCTTGCACCGAGTGCGAGCGAGACCGGTATACTCGGTCGGGCAGTGTGCCGATGAGAGACTACGAGAGATTAAAGAGTTTTTCTCCCTCCGCCCCCACCACCCCCTCCACCACCACCGCCTCTCCGTGCATTTTTTTTCCTCCTCTTTTTCACGTTCGACTCTACCGCTCTGCTCTCCCTTCCTACGCCCCTGCCCCGCCGCGGCCGTCGGCCCCGGAACGGGCCCCAGAACGGGCCCCATTCCGGCGTGGAACCAACCGGGTAATTGCTCGGTCGAGCCAGCCCGCCAACCAGCATTCGCGTTGGCTTTTGCATTTTTGCCCACGGCGATTTCGCGAGATCCACTCGACCTCCCACTATCTTCCACCAGCCTGCTCTCTCTCGCTCTCTTGCGCCGGCTTTCTCCAGTGTCTCCCTCTCGCTTCATCCGTGGCCGGCTACGTGATCGAAGGTCGTATCGCGAACCCTGATCGCGATTTACTTATGATACTTATCGCTCGGAACGGGGCCCGCGCAAGCGGATGAGTAATAGGTTCTCACGGAGGGCCCGGCGAAATCCAGCGGGCGGATTGTACTGTTAGCCGGGCACAAATGGTTCCGTGAACCCGAGACGGTGCACCCCGAGCGGAAGAATCCGAAATCAGGAGCGCGACGCGACCTTTTGCGAGGTCGCGGCAGCAGTATCGACGCGCCGGTGAATTTATTAGCCGTAAATCTCGGGATTCGACGCGATCCGCGAGGTTTCCGCTTTCTCGCGACCGGGTATAAGCGTTTTTCCTACGGTGGACCTTCACATTTTCTCCGCTCGTAATTCTATCCGCGCTACCGGATACGAGCGAAAGCTGTGCCCGGCCTCGACGAAAAGGAGATACACGCCTGCATGGCCGCCGAGTTCAGCGGATAACTCCTCGAATGTAATCGTAATTTCGACGACGGTAGCACCCGGGATAAATTTTTGGGATCGTTCATCGTCGAATCAGCGGTCTATAAGATTCGTTGTTCCCGAGACAGTTGTTTGGATCAGTTTCTCCTCGCCCCCCATTACCTAACGAATACGGAGCAGCGCTCCTGATGTCGGAAATGACTTCCCAGTCAAACTCGATTAACGATTCGAGTGCCTCGTATTCCAACCTACCTATTCGCTGATCGCGGTTGTCTTTCGTTCCTCTAAATTTCGCGTCGCGGATGTTGCGTCAACGACGCTAACGACATTCGTTTACCCAATTCCGCGGTATTATTAGATAAACCTCGTGAATCATTCCCTCGCGAGCAACAAGAGCTTTCCGTCCCACTCGAGTACCCTGGTCGTCTAAAATTCTCGAGATTCCGAAGAGTCAAAGGCGCCACGGAACCAAGACGAAACGGGCACTCGCGGCTATAAACGTGAGAACGACGCGCGGCGTCGAGCTCCCCGCGGCCCGTTAATTATTAACGCGGCTAATATTTTCCTCGGCGCGCCGGAACGGCGGCCAACCGAGCCGGTGGAATTATGACACGATATCGCGTCGCGATAAATCGTCCGGGTAATTATTCACACGCGCGTTTCTGCACACGTGAGAGAGCCTGTCCTTCTCTCTCACCTGGCCGGCCGAACGGACCCCGACTCACCTGGCCGTGGACGTGCACGCGGACGCGGAACGATTTTCTTAGGCGCCGCTCGCTCTCCGTCGCGACGTCGTCGACGATACCTCGCTGGGTCCGCGGCAAAGTTTGTGCACGCGTGCACACAATCGGAGTCGTTAAATGTCGACGCGTGCAATTTGCATCGCGATGCCTCTGCCTCGCGCGCGCGCGCGCGCGGGAAAAGGAAAAAATAGCAACGACCGTGCCAGCTGTCGGGTGGCGTAATTACTCCGAGCGTTAGAAAAGTCTGCCGCTGTCGGTGAAGCGTGGCTCTGACTGTTGACGAGTTTATGTTGGAGGAGCTCGCAGGTATCCGCGAGTGAGTCACGGGAATCGCGCTTGAAACGGCGAGACTGGTTTTCGCGGAATTTACGCGACGCGCGTGATTCTTTCTTTCCCCGGCGCACGGTCATCCACGGCTTTTACGATCCAGCCACGCGAATCGATTCCACGACGGTTAATTTCCACGACCGCGCGGTTCTGAAACGGCGAAGTTTGCGGAAATCGGTCAGTCGATCGGCCAGCACCGGCGCGCGCTCAATTGACTCGTCGTCGAGCGGTCGCGCGGATCTTTATCTCGCGGTTCGTGTCATTCTCGACGAATGGATACCCGGTTTTAAATGGTTTTGTTACGCAATGGCGGTTAAGCGAATGCGACCATCTTTCCTTTAAATTGCACGCTATTCATAATCCCTTTAGAGGTCTATTCAGAACTGCTTACTCAAGTATAACGCGCGCGGTTGGCAATGCGTTAATTTGAAACACGGCCAGCTTTAGCGAACGGATGAGCGACTTGCTCGAAAGAAGATTTAAAGAACGCGATATTTCTCCGGGTAGCCGGGATCCCCGATTGGTTCTCGCTCGAAGCCGCGTGTTCCCTGGCAGACGCATAACTCCGTACCGCGAACTTTCTATCGTTATGTGTAACGATATTTTTCTTTTTTTTTTTGCTCCGCGCGTGCCATTCATCATCCCTGTGCGCGGCGATGACGAGGCCGCAGGATGTCGGGGACGCTAATTAGTCGGCCACGTGGTCCCGCGAGCGCGCGAAGAAACCGAGAAAGACCAACCCCCCCTCGCGTAAGGTCGCTTTAAAACTAGCTCCAGGGGAGCGTAATCCATCATCGAAAACGGCTGGTGTAACGTAACCGGCCGGTTATGCCCACCACTAATCAACGACGCTGACTTGCCGTATAATTAGATCTGCCTGGGCCCCCTCCGCTCACCCTTTCCTTTTCCCAAGCCGGCGACTGTGCTCGTGACTAGCCCCGTGTTCGCATAGCACACGACCAGGTTCTTTCCTGCCCAGGGAATCGCAAAAAGCTTGTCCGTGTTCGGCTTCCCCCCTCGTGAGCTTCGAACGCTGATTACTGACGTACCCTCCGACGAGGATCAGGGAACGTTGACTGGCTGGCTGTAGGGACCGTGAGTCGGGTCTGACTGTGGACGGTGGTGAACATCGGCGAGCTTCCTCGGGGTTTGTTTCGGAAATTTCGGACGTTTAACGCGTTAAATAATTTTCTCGCGCTCTGCCGGCTTCACCCGGGTCCGATATTTCGTGCAGGGGTGGATGTATCGGCGAGACACCGGCGTTTCGTAATTAGCTGGAACTAGGAGCGCGAGTAAGCGAGATAATAAAACGGCGAGCGTTTCTTGGAAGGAACTAGTCCGTTTGCCGGTTTATCGAGCGATCTACGAGGCAGGAGCATTCGTTTCGCGTAACCGTGGCGAAAGAACTCGCGCGGAGTGGCACCCGACCACTTCGTCCGTCACCGACTGTCACGGCCGGGTTCTCGGATCGATAGAAAGCGAGATCCTAACTCGAGTGTGACGTTTTCGCTCCGTCGATCGCGTTTTTCGCACGCGTGACTCCGTCTTGGCTCACCTTCGCCGGACGTGAAGGGGCGGACCAGCCCAGGCAACAGCACGCAGAACAACAGGAACAGGGAACACGATTTCGGCCTCATCGCGATCGTGTCACCGTCGTTGGTCGGTCATTCGTTCATCTTACGTCGTGGAAGAAGGAATCCGAAGAAACGGCGACGCCGAGCGTGAAATTTTCACCGTGAAATCGTACGATGGTCGTGGACTGCACCTGTAACGCAAACAACGAATATTCCAGTTAACTTTGAACGAGTGACTCGGTGTGAAAGTCGATAAAGCTGGATCGCAAAGTCGGAGTTTCGCGCGAGTATCGGGGTTAAAAGTTTCGGAGAGCATACATACACTTTGTACCTAATAGAAAAATAGCACCGTGGTATGTCTGCATGATAAGGCTAATGCAATTGTTTCCAAGTGAATGAATAAGGCAGCACGCACCCATTATCCGTTTCTGCGGAATGTTTCAGAAGCGTGTGCCGGGATTCGCGAGGGTACGGATTAATGTTGCATGAACTGGCTGGTGCACGCCGTGGTTCGTCGGTCATGATTAATTAAGCTAAATGAACCAGCAAGTTTTTCCGGGATGCGTACAAAGAACGCGAAAAAAGTTTTAACTTCTCGTCTCCCGGTCAGCGTTTCCGCGATCGAGGGATTTTATAAATTTCTCTACACGCTCGCTGGTAAATAATCCACGGAAATTTCCATTTCTCCATCATCGGACACCCCGAATACGAGCTCTCTCGCGTATACGCGTACACATACGTACGTTTCTCTTGCACGTTATTGCTCCCACTCGCGGTGGAAAAATTCCAGACTAAATTCCGTCTTATTCAAAAATATTTCGACATGGAGACAAAAGCGAGTACACCCTTGATCCCACTCGACTCGAAACCCAGCCGCCTTCTCCGACCGCGTCCTCGTAAATTCGAGCTGATATTCTCGAGCATCTTAAAATACGTATCCACTTGTGAGGAAGGAAAAAAAAGGTCAGAAACGAAATAGAAAAAAGGGAGGTATGGAAAAAGGAAAAAGAAAATGAACGGTTTCCAGTGGACTCGCTGGTGGAAGCCACGTTCGAGACTCGCCCCCACGAAGGGCGCGTTTCCATCGAAAAATACGAGCTCGCAGCCGGCAGAGCGGTGCTTTCTCAAAAAAATGGAAACTTGCGGGTGGCACGCGATGGAGGGCGGAAGCGACATCGACGTCGGGACGCGGATCGAAGGTTTCTCGTTGGTGGGGGGGTCTCTTGCTCCGTTGTTTCCACCGGAAAACGTAAAAGACGGTTAGGAGTGGCGAGAGTGCCACTTAGGTGCCGGCTGGCAACCCTTGCCATTTAAATATTCCACCGGTACCGCGCACTTTCCCGCACGCGAAATTTCCTCGTGGCGCCTTCGTTCGACCGACTAGCGCACGACTGTAATTCCACCCCGTATCGCTCCTCGTGCGCAGCACGAGGCCCCGGTTCCCTCGAATCCTGTTCCTCGTGGCCAATTCTGCTCGATAACCGAGCGTCGTTAATTATTAACGACGATCCGTCTAGTGGGAATGGATCGGCAGACGCGAAAAATTCGTTTCGTCCCGGGGTAATTGGAATCTCGGAGGGTGGGTCTGGGGTTAATATCGTTCGCTTCTTCCTCGATTACTCGGTAAATACGGAGAACCGGGTATACGGTCGCGTGTATAAATAAGCGGCAGAATTTCGATCGCCAGACAATCGGGAGGGGGGTTTTTCTTGGACGCGGAAAGAAGGAGAAAAAGGAATCCGTCGAGTAAGGCAAAGAAGCGAGATTCGATTGCTCCGGTTATACAGGCTCATTCTATGCAAAATATCGGCGTCCGACGACTAGTATCGGGAGAGGTTCCCGGGTTTAATTAAAGTCCAGATGAAACTTTACGGGCGGCGATAAAGCGTTGCAGCACACGGCGGACGTATTTGCACTCGAACGGTTCGGTGTGTACCCGCGCGCGGGGAACTAGTTTCGCGAGCGTGTTCGTTCGGACGGAACTGGAAGGAAATCCACGGGAACAAATGCGCGCACGAGGCAGAGAGAGAGAGAGAGAGATAGAGGGGGGGGGGGGAGAGAGGTAGACACGACCCTGGCGGACTTGTACTCGCGCTGCTATCGGCGGATTGAAACGCGACAGGAGGATCGTTTGTCAATGTCGTCCTTCGTGGGTCCTTTGTTAGCCTCGCGGTCTCGCGTTTGTAGGCGGCGCAAACTATTTCGTTCGAGATCGAAAGTGGCCTGCCCGGTGCTGCACGTGCCTCTGTCAGCGGTTCGAGTAATTATCCGTGATGAATTTCACCGTTGCGACGAGAAATTACTCGCGGCTCCGACTTCCAAAGGGGTTTAAAATTAGATCAAAGATCGGTGGAATCGCGATACGAGAGCTCGGGTAAAACGGCAATTCCGAGGAACGACACCGCGGAATCGACCCTCCACACCGGCGTCCAGACGAATTCACCCTAATGGAAACGCGACCCGACGACCACGAACGTCGATCGCGGTCGGATAAATCGCGTGGAATCGATGGTCGGCACTCGATAGTCGTCGGCTCGTTATCCGCGGGAAAGTCGACGATGAGGCCTCGTACGAGGAATCGAAGAGGTACACAGCGATCGAGTCCGCGCCGCCACTGTTGGGGAAGGTAGACACGGGGCGAGAACGGTCTCGGAGATTCATGACGCGGAATAATCCACGGGACGAGTAGATGCCCGTGGAACGCGCATTATGCGAGCGTATCGGCGTCCCTACACAGATTTCCCATCGGCGGCGGCTCGGAGAAAGCCCGGGGTCTAATCCTCCAGGACGAGGACTCAATTTATAAACGTGCCCGGTATTACCACTCAAAGGCTTAAAACACTCGACACCGAGCAGACGTCGTGGTGCCGCGCGGACGAACACATGGCATTTCACACTGCAATTGCCACGAATGCCTCTCCTCTCCCCGGTTGGAGCGCGCGCGAGCGCTAGTCGGGGATAAGCGCGAGAAACTCGAGTGCTATTCACCCGCTTGGCTGCTCCAGGAAAGCTCTTTTCTTTTCACGGGACCTGTTTTCAGGGGTCTTCTTCGCCACTTTACAAGCGGAACGCGAGCTGTCCGCCCGTTTCGAAACCGACGCACCGTGTGTATACACGCTTCGCGCCTCGTGTCCTTCCGCTTCCCTGCTTCTTTTCCCTTTTCTCCCCCTTTTCGTACTACGCTACGCGCGCGCGGCTTTCTCTCTTTTCGCGTTCTTCCTGCTCGACGTCGCGTCGGATCAGACGTCCGCAGAGACGGTACACGCGGCACGTCGAGGCGAGCGCGAGAGATCGCGATTCCAAAGCGGTTTAAAGCTTCGAAGGGCAACCTGGGTATCGCGTGACAACAGGTAAGGGGAATCAACGGGGCCGGATTCCCTGGAGTATTCAACGGCTACCGGTTTGCGAGACCGCCGCCTCCCTTGGATGTTTCTATTCCGCCTCGGCCACGGCACAGAAGCAGCGAGCCCTCGAGGAACGCAACGAGAGACGATCCGCGCGTGCTTACGCGCTCGAATATGTGTACCGGGGATTCCTGGAGAACGGAGCTGAAGGGAGAAGGACGCAGCCCGGTGCTTTCTTCGCTTTGCCCGTTCGCCAGACTTCCGATCGAGAATTCGTTATTGATTGCTCGCCTCTCGCGAGAGCGTGCGAAATTTCGCCGGGTCTCCCGGGAGGATGGATTCTATTAGGGTGGCAGGGGCTCGATGGCAGCGAAAGTAGACGGAAAATGTGGTTTTCTTGTTTGATTTCGAGGGAGAAGCGATACGTGGGTACGGATCGATGCTGGAAATGTACCGAGTTGTCGATATTCCTTTTCTCCGATTTAGTTTTATTTCGCGGCAAGACGAAGGAAGTAATTGACAATCGCGATAACTTTCATCGAAGAAAGCCGTATTAGATAAGAGGAAAGTCGAGATTACTTATTAATACTATCGCCAATATTAGCCTAGTCTTGGATGAATCACCTCCGTTTCTTATTTCGATATCTACTTCCACTTTGTCCCGACGAATTTTATCGTTCGATCTGTCTATTCAAACTTTGGGAAAATCAATCAGCGACGATCGTCGGTACCACGATGACTGTTTCGTTGTACTCCATCAGAGCAACCATCGGCGTTGACCCTGTTTGAGTTTCAGGGTCCACGCGGATCGATCGAGGCCCTCGAAAGAAGCTGTGCAACCCCTCGAAGATCGTAGGGGTTTCGTGAAACAGCGGGCAATTACGGTCCTGTCTCTCCTCCCTCCCCCCCCCTCTCTCTCTCTCCCCCTTTCGGCTAGATGTTCATCGTGGAAACCGTGCATCGTGTTATTTAGAAACTTCCCGACCGATCTCCGCTCTTCTCCGCCGTGTAATCTCGCAGCGTTATAAAGCACGCCGTAACATTTCTAATGCCCAGGGATATTACGCGTTTTATCTTACAGCGTTGTAAATTGCGACGCACGCATGCGCGCCGCCGGTCGTAATAAATTTGCATGCATTTACGTAACGCGTTACGAATTTTCCGTTCGCAGCCACGAACTTGAGCGGGGCCCGCTCGCGCTCGCACTCGCGCCGTCTCCGGGCTTTTCCCCGTAAGGGACGAGCGTGCTGGGTGGTTGCAGAAATTGACTCGGAATATATACGACTGCCTTGTGGATGAAGACGGAGAAACGTCGGGCGAGGATGAAGTCGAATGGCTTAATCAAAAGTGGTGGCTGCTCGCAACACGGTGTCCGTTACAGGTTTACAACGCGAGGATAGCAGCGAGTTCTCCTTTTTCGGAAATATACCAACGTTTTACCGAGTAACGTGATTTACTCGACGCGATCTATAGATCCTGCCCGAAGGACGAGTCAGGATAAAAGAGCGAGAGGTGGTTATTTATGGACAGCCTCCTTTGAAGAGCAAGAAAGGGTGTATATTTGGATGATAAACATCCACCTCGCCTCTAAACATCCGAATCTGCTCCGCCAGGATGACCGATCTACCTTACTTTTCATCCTCCTATCTCCCCGTCGAATCTCCGAGTACCATAAAAAAGACATTTCTCGCTAAATCATCCCCTGACCAATTTTCTCCGCCCACGTTGCTACCCATCCGACTCCCTTGGATCAGCCTGGCGCGCAAACACGCGAGCGAGCGAGCGAGGGGAATCGTAAATTTCCCGCGGAACAGCTTCTTTTCTCTGGAAACATGCACGCGCATTTC